ATCGAATATAGCCAAAAATGCCACACATCATTTTTTTAAATGCTTATAACTCTGGTTCCTTTTCTGGTATCAAAATGATATTAACAGGGTCTTGTAGGCAATTGATAAGGCTTTGATTTTTAATTATAAAATTAAATTGAAGTGACCTTGAAATGCATTTGACCTTGAATTAAAACAGAAAAATTTAAATAGCAAAAAACACGCCACCTTCGATTTGAGTAATTTTTACATATTATGTCCGTCACAATGTTCCTAACCATCTGTGAAAAAATTGGAGTGGGCCATTCATAACTTTCGCGGCAAACGCCGTTTTCATGCATCAACATCACGCAACCGCACGTGACCTTGAAAGACAGAGTCAAGACATGCTTGCTTGTGTACACTTTCTGAAATGAATGATTGCTGATTAGTGATATCCCAAACTCTGCGAGAATGGAAATGCATAGTCATCGTAGTCAAGCATTCACGTTCCATTGTAAAAGTGTCTCAGGTAAACGGTATTTTGCGGTGAATTTTGAGCCGTGTGGAAATGCATCATGAAATAAATTCAACGAAAACATTATCACGCAACGATATCTTCACGTCTTTTGATCTTCACTATACGAAAGAACATACATTTTTGTATGTATGGGGAATTTCTAGTTAATCCGATAATAAATATGGCAGTTAGAGTCCTGCTAAGAGTAACATGTCGCCGGCTGAGGCGGGATCGGCCGACGCGGGAAACGCAGCAGTCACAATTTTGTGTTTACACGTTCATATTTCAATTGTTTACCAACCTATTTTCAGAATTCTTTCACCATAAGATTGCCTGTACATTTCTTAGTCTTCTCACAAAATTTGACGCGAATCGAACGTAATCAACGGTAAGGAGCGCGATGTAAAGACGGAACCGTTCCGTTCCGTCCCGGCACAGTCTACAATTCAGGCGGCGCGTAGCGGTCGGCGCCGCCTGCCGAGTCGCCGCGTCGCCGCGGCGACAGGATGTTCACTTTACACCGCTATTACTAGAACAGTTGTGAACCGATTTTCTTATTGCTTGCACGATGAGATGTGCAATTCAATTCTGGACAGGTAGCCATAAGTAATTTCGCATCAATATTATGAGATATTGGCGAAAAACAGGAGGGGTGGGGCGAAATTCACTCTTCCCCCTCCACTGCGCGTGCTAACATACGTTTGCATATGTGCCATTTTCTTCAAAACTTATGAATGGCCCACCCTAATTTTTTCACAGGTTGTTAAGAATATGGTAGGCAATAAAATATATGAAAATGAGCCAAATCGAAGGTGGCGTGTTTTTTGCTATTTCAATTTTTGTGCTTAAGAACAGAGTTAAGCAAATTTCAAGGTCATATATTTAAGTCGATGCAATTCTAAACAAATGCTTAAGAAATTACCTAAACAGTAAGGTTTATTTCATTCAAATCAAACAAGTACAACCAAAGTTATGGTCGTTCAAAAATATAAAGATGCAACATTTTGTAAAAATTTGATGCCCTATCTTTAGAAGACCTGTGGTCAGAATGTGCAAAAAACATCAATGTAATGTCCGGGGCGACACAGGAACTCGCTCACAAATTTATAATGAAATCGCTGATGGCAAGGTGCAAAACAGCCGATTTTTGTTCGATTTGACGTGGAATGCCCCTATGTGATCCGGTTCGAACGGTTTTACAGCCGATTCTAGGTGTGTCGGCACAGCAGCGCCTTTGATTCTCGGGTATTTGCGATTTCATGCTTGTCGTCAAGATTGCATGATGACTGGTGTGTAATCGAGTAGGTGTTTTTTTTACTTATCGCTTTCTTCACGCAACGGTGAATGACATGATATGGCTTTCGAGCTATTCCATTGTTTTTCTGAAAATAGATTTCTCCCGTCGGGCAGTGTGTTACTGAACCACCCTTTCGTGTGTTTGCGACGTTCACAGTAGCGCCCGTAGAGTGAAGATTGTAGAGTAGAGGGCCGCCAGAATCAATCTTTCTGCGGTCTTTGTCTGATATTGCCTCTTCAGGCTACCATCGCCGTGAACATCTCTCGTATCCTAGAAGAGTTCGTGGTGATAACTTTTCTTTCCTCTTCCATCTGTTATTGCTCGCATCACCCTAACCTTGCCTGATAGGGTGCAATGAACACAGAATGGATGCCCGATGTCATCCGAGTTCGTGTGAAGCTCTCTTTACTCCGCCCGTGGGAAAACTAGTTCCTCTATTTTCGTTGGTCATTCTTTGTTGGTCTCACTGCAGCACCATATGATGCCGGTTGCAGAGCTCCGCTCCCTCGCGATGCTCGTCGCGTGGGACCGGCGTCCGGAAGCCCCTGTCGTGGTTCCCACGCCGTGGTGAGCTGCGGCGGCCTCCCAACTGGGACCGGTCCGGACCGGCGACTGGGGATGGTCCGTGTCCTCCGGTTCGTTTGGATAGACCCCTGCCGAGAGCGCGCCGCGAACTCGACGAGAATGTGGTGACGGGAGGGTTTGGAATGGGGAATGACAGTTCTTCATGACAGATCCTTGCAGACATACGCGCTGCTCGTGTATGTGTAATCGTGACCTGCCCTACATACGCTTATAAGTTTGCTAGTGTGTATCTGTTGTCACTTGGATAAGACCTGTCCTTTCAGGTGACAGAAAGACAGCGTAGTTTTGACTGACATTCTGCTATGTAGTTGAGTTACATAATCCTTATAATTGATGGTGCGGCAGCAATCCTTACCACAACTCGCGTTTTTAAATCGCTAAGCCACCGAATTTCCCACGGTGCCTGGGTAATGACCTCATTCTACCAAATTACGGTAGAGTGAAGCAATTAGACGGTTGACACCTTCCTCTGTCCACCTTACATCATTGCAAGGAATGCTCCTTGCCGCCGGACACCGAAGCTTAACTCGCACCTCGAGGGCTCTCAGCTCAGCTCAGCGTTCCGAGCGCCGTGCTGATTCGCCTGCCCGGTTGACCTCCGTGGGTGGCCCTCCGGGGGGTGGGGGGGGGGGGGGGTGGAGGGGGAGTGACGTGCCGAGTCGACCACGACCCTGGCGCGGGGGACGCGCGTCCGCCGAGGAGAGACGTCTGTTTACGCCTTCTGCGCACTGTTTACCGTGTGCGGTAACTCGCCGCTTCTGTGCGAGCGTGTGTTTGTATGTGTGTGTTGGCGTGTGGAACTCCCGGGCGGCGAGAGAGAACATGTGTAGAGTGGTGTCAGGAATGTCGTGGATTACTGCACAGTTGTACCGGCAGATGTTATTCGTGTATCCCCTGGTCCCGGCTCCGTTAGCTACAATGTGGGCAGCTTTTTGGGGCAGAGTTTGGTACGGGACTGGTCATGACAAAACTTTCACAGAGTCAGGTGTGAAATGTATGCGTGGTTGTGGTGTGTGTGCGTGGAACGAGCGTGAAGGACCAGCATTGTGCGTCAGAAGACTAGCAAAAAACTCGGTGGTTTTTGCCTAAGCAGCAAGTGACCCTGATGGCATGACTTCTGTTGTGGCGTAGTTGGGTGGCTTGACCCGGTGTTGTTGTTGGCACCAAAAGAATGCTAGTGTGACAGGCATGCCTCTGGCAGGGTGTGGCCTCAAAGGACCTCCCGTGACAACAACAATAAGCCCCGCCGGACCGGCTGATGAAACACCGCTGAGCTGTCTCTCGCTGTCACTAAGAGCCACCATATGTCTTGGGGCGGAAACATTAGCATTTTGATTGCTTATGCCATTCAACAATCATGGTCCCTGTTGCATTAAAAGCCTAACCCAAAAGGAGGATAAGAGCCAGGATATGGGCCCAAAAAGGATTTCGATTTGTTAAATGTGGCCGAAGATCATGACGAATATCGGGCTCGGATCTGACTGGGGGGGGGGGATATCAATCTGTTTTTTTTTTGCCGTGACTAGGAGATAACGTGACATGATGTCAGGATCGAGATTTCGTCTTACATGCGCTGATTTGCTTTGGTTCAAGATTCTGTTTATCTTAAATTTGACTGGGCCGTGTCCTTGGGTCGTGTTGGACTATCCACAGTTTATGTTAAGTTTTTTTTATGATTATTTATGATTCCGTCAACTCTCTAACCCACCCACTTACCTACTTCAAAACCGAAGCGCCAGCACTCTGCAAATGTAACCTGATCTTCAGCCGTGCAGCGAGGTAGGCCACATCACCACCCCGGTGTAGGGTGTACTCCCGTGACCCTGAATACCTGCGGGTGTCTGTGAGGTGGCCGAGAGCGTGCTGATTGGTCACTAGCTTACGTCAGAGAGATGACGCCAGACACTCAATAAGCAACCATGTTTATTGTTTATTTTACAGCCCATTGTCCCTCAGGCAGCGAACACCTCATTGCATAGACCTATTGAATTGAGAATGTAATTTTTAGCACCACCAGCTTATTTATTCGAAGTCGAAGGTCATCACCCTCTTCTCTTAAATCTCATTTCCCATTTCCCCTTATTTCCCCTTCCCACTTCCCACAGAAGTGCTATCTATTGAACACACTGTGCCAAGGACACCCTGCCCCTCTTTCCGTTTTTATTTCACTGCTGGTTTCGTTTGAGTCTGTCGCGGTCCGGTCGTTTACTCTGTAAATGCCACTAATGGATGGCACCCGGACGACACACCCACCTTCAGTTTGTGGAGGAGTCGAAAACCGATATCAGAGAGCGGACTGCTGAAATTGAGCGTCACACAATAGCGTGTCTTTTGTTTTATCTTACAATGCAATGTGTCTGTCGTGTCACAAACTGTTTCTGTCTGTTGTGTGTCATACTTTGTCTACGCCTTATCTCACAGTTTGTCTGACGCGCTTCATTAAGTGCCTGCCACATTTCACTTTGCTTCTGCCTTTTGTCCAAGTTATCGTCCTTATGCCACAGCTGTCGTAGCTGTCAGTCTTTCGCCACAATGGATTTGCTTTATGCATGCTACAGTATGTCTAATCTTTGTCAGAATCTGCTATACATCTCAGTATGTCTGCTCTGTGTCACAGTTTTCCCATATGCTCTTTTCCAGGTCCAGCCTATCCCCGAGGTCTCAGAGCTCTCGCAGCGCCGCGCTGTGGACGGGTCTCACCTGGCCGTACCTGAGGACGGCCTCAATGCAATACGGAGAGACGGCACCCTCCGGCGCACCGGCAGCCTCAGGTTCTCCAACAAGGTAGGTCAAGGTCACGGCTACGGGCGGCGTCAGGCTCGCCACCAGGGTAGGTCAGGGTCACGGTCACGGGCGGCGTCAGGTTCGTCAACAAGTTAGGTCAAGGTCACGGCCACGGGCGGCGTCAGGTTTGCGAACAAGTTAGGTCAAGGTCACAGCCATGGGCGGCGTCAGGCTAGTCAACAAGGTAGGTCGAGTTCACAGTCGATGCGTTTTAAGTTTGTCACTGGAGGGCAATGGTATTAGACAAGCGACGCCAGGTTCTCTTTCAAAGGAAGGCAGGAGCATAATCCTAAGGTTACCTACAGCTGATAGTCGGAGACTGCCGAACGGAAGTTTTGCTGGTATGCCACGGTGTTAACTAGAGTTAGGTATATGCATATTGTCCCGAACCGGGTGTTACTTTGTAGCTTGTCTGGGTAAGCAGAACTTCGCAAGGGGCCAATAGCGCAGGCCAAGGACACTATCAATGCTTTCGAGATGTTTGTGTAAATTATCTCATAAGGTTTTACAAATTATTTACGCAATGTCACGTTAATTAGACAATTACGTAATGCGTGCGTCTTTTTAGCCAATGTGAGCTATAAGACGAGATCAAACCGGAAGGATGCCACACATCCGAGGAGATAAACAGCGTGTTGTTTTGCTGTGCTAGCCCTCAGAGGGAATGAAATACCCGCCACAAAATGCAGACTGACGTGTTTTCTTCGCTGCGCTGGCCAACTCACAAGTGGCATTAATTCCCTCAGATGCGCTGCCTGCGGGCCCGATGGTTGGAAGCTAGCATTTCCGTTTCTCTCTCTGCTCACAATGCTGCAGCCTGCACTTTGCTCCAATGCGCTTACTGCTTCACCCGTCTGCACAAGGTTTGGTGGACGAGCGAAAAGGCTGTGGCTCCGTCAAGGCCCTGTGCGTTCCACAGTGACATCTCAAAGGGCGGGCGGGGTCTAATCTGCATTATAAGGATAGCAGGCCTGGAGACAGGTCTTTTCACATTCTTCAGGGCTGGTGATTGTATTATGCCCACATTGTCTCGTTAGTAGCTGAACAGCCCTGAGAGCTGCGTAGTCGGTTGATGCCTCCTCTAGCGCTGCAGACGGTTTGTGCATCAGCGAGCGGTTCAATTAGTTTGAGTGTCCCCCGACTCTGCGCAGTCTATGCGTCCCCCGCTCCTCGGCTGCGTCTCTGATGGGCTCTGGCCGAGCTGTTTACCGGTGCGGCGCTGACTGACGTTGCGAGCGTGGGCGACGACCGGTGACATCAGCCGTGCAGCGCCGTGCGGCCCGCGCGGTCTGCCACCGCACCCCTCCCCTTACCTCAACTCACCCCTCCCACCCCTTCCCCGCCCCCACCGTTCTCGTCCAGTGCTCGGCCGTGGCACTGCAAGTTCTGCATTATTTGGCTCGGTGGTATTGTATTGATAACAGCATCGAAATCGTGGATTGGATTAAACATTTTTCTTTTTTTCTGCAGTGTTGATACCAAGCTATGTCGGGAATCGAAATATTGCCAGGTTCAATGTTTTTGTTTGTTTCTGCCATGAATCTATTTCCCAAGACACTTTTTATTGCGTCAAGCACTATAAAACATGATTGCAGCGTCATTTTCGTGGTCTCCAGTCGCTGCGCTTGGCAGTATACCGCGAACTCATCCTTATCGTGCTGAAACTCGGAAGCGAGCCGGTGCAATCGTGCAAGATTGCAGAGAATGCACACATTTGGCCGTGAGCGTGCAGCGCGGATTGTCGGCGGCTGTGGCCGGTCACGGCTCCGGAGGAGAGTGCTGCTCGTGACCGGACTGGACAGGATGAGCCGGGGAGGGTTCTGTGACACGATCGGGCGGGGGGGAGGGGAGGAGCACGTCGGCCGTCAGTCCAGGTCTGAGACTGGGGGCTGGTGTGACTATGAACCACCAGTGTGTGTTTGAACTTGCGCAATATGTATGCCAGGACCGTGGCGTGGAAGCAATGCGGATTGCGGATTGTTATGCTTCGGATATTTTCACAAAATTATTGGTGATTTGCTTTGGTTCATGCAAGTGCCCACCTAACAAGCGCTCGTCCCAGGGACCGTTAAACTACCGTCCTCTTTCCTTCCCTGGCCCAACACAAGGCCCGCGCTCCACCGCCCTCACGGCCGTCGGCCACATACAAAGTCAAGCCCGGCGGCGAGGCGGCCGGCACCTGCCGCCGGCGGGGCGGGGGCGGGGGCGGGGGCGGCGCTCGTTACGCCGGCCGGATATGCGGGTGGCCGCCCGTGCCGCCACGGCCATTGGACGGCGTTGGGCCGCGCTGACTTCACGGCAGGAAGACGGGCACGGGCCCTACCACCGTCCCTCAGACCTCAGGTGTTAGATTTCTGTACTAGGCGGCCACTCATGTCAGCAGTCACTTGTCACTGGTCATTGTTGCCGTGCTGGCAGAGCGCTATGATGGACGCTTGGTAATGACAGCCTACTGATTTACCCTTTGATGTAGCATGAACACTATTGCATGCTGTAATGTGATATTTTATTTCATGTTTTTCGCACTGGTTGCTAAGCCAGGGTCAATAGAAATATCTGAGGAAAAGTCAGCCAAATATTGCACGAGACTGAAGTGATCGGACCGTCTATAGTTTCCAACCGCGCAATCTATCCATTCCTCGTCGTCCCTTCACCGCAGGCACTTCGATAGCGGGTACGCCTGTGCTGTGTGGCGTCTCTGTTGCATGTGTCACTGGCATCTCTGTTATATGTGTCAATGCGCTATGTGCCGCGACCATGGCGTATTTACCACTCTGTGTCACTATCAGCTGTGTGGCAGCCCGTCCCCGCCTGGCGCCATGTTAGCTCTCTGCTCTGATATCGTGATACCGATATACGTGATATCCCCGGTGCTGTGTATTGGCACCGATACTGTGCCATTGGCAGTCCCGTAGCTCAGTCGGTAGAGCGTTGGACTCCGCGTGGTGAGAGCACGCGTTCCCGGTTACAATAGTCCGGGTTCGAAGCGCGACAGGCGCTTGACGTTTATGGGCCTCCTGACAGGTATGGTTGCGGTTGGTGGCAGGCCGTAGCCAGGCGAAGTCAGTGAGGGGACCGGCCGTGCGCGGCTATGTGCGGACGTTAAACTTTGGATCCCAAATTCTGCCATAGAACCGGAATTGCGCGATCGGAGGGTAGAGGGCAGGGTCAACGCAACAAGCTTCGCTTAGCGTGGGCTCTGTCCTTGTGAATCCTTCCATTCAAAAGGTTCGACTAAATTTATAAAAAAAAAATAAAGTAAAAAAAAAATTGGCAGGACTGAGGCTGACAGGTGGGTTGGGAGTGGAGTTTAGGCTGGTTGAGACTGAATAGACGAGCTGAAACTACACGTATGTCAGCGGTGGGCTGAATTGGGCAAGGCAAGACGATACTGTGTCGCTATGACGCAGACAGACGGGATGATACTGACAAAGGCGGGCTGATCGTCGCGGATGGGACCAGATACTGACGGATGGGTGCAGTTGTTCCGGTGGACAATAGACGACGGCTCTGGTGTGGTGTCTGCCTCGCTCGGTTATCGTCAGTGTCATGCATATAATTAGGGCGACAACGAACCCTCAGCGACGATTGTCATAACTAGGTATTGCTTATTGGCTTTGCGTCAGAGGCGTAACCGTGCTGTGCCTGACATCGTGGGTATATTTGTTGGCCAATGGTAGCTGACCACTGGTCACTGGCCGTCGCCAGCACCGTTTCACCAAACTACTCTGACTTCGACTAGGTTGTGTTCACTGTTCTGCAGCCGATACCAATGATCTGCAAGAAAATAGTTTCCACAAACCTGACTGTTCATGATAGAGGAGCCGCGCATATCGAGCGGTGTCTGGCCGCTTATTTTCTGTGGTCTGGTCTGTGTCTGATCGAGGATACCGGCTCATTATGCGATTAATGATTGTGTTTCTCAAGTACCAAAGGTCGTGTGTATCCACGGTGAGGAATTATACCCACCACGCACTGAAGTGTTCAGGTGAGCCGTGAGTGAATGGCGTCTGACCGTGACCGAGCGGCAGGTGGCGTGGCTTCCTTCTCCCTCCTCCCTCCCACCCCACCCCGCCTCACTTCACCTCACATCACCCTCCCTTTTCAATTCCGGCCAGTTTGCAGCACAATTTAGTCGGCCTCAGACTTGGTCTTCAGGGTTCGGCTAGGTGGGTTGTCTGGTCACTAAGCCGTGGCTGATGTCTTCCCGTTCAGCTTACACTTTCCGTCGCTGCTATGTTTCGGCGAGCGTGGCCCGGGACTTGGCTTGCACGTGCTCTGCTGTCTACGTATGGCTGCTTCATGGATGATGCAGTAATAGCTAAAGATGCTGATTATAGGTATAATACCATATGGCACCAGACGTTCACGAAGATCCATTTCTTCGTCTCCGTTAAACGATAACCATCTCCTTCCGCGACATGCGAACCACTCTCCAGTCTCCGTATCTCCGTATCAGATTAGACCATATCGCTCTCCATTGGAATTCGGACGGTGCCTTGTTACCTGGCGTCGGGTGACCTGGGAGGGGCAGTGACGGTGGTAGAGTCGGCGGAAGAACGCACCCAGTCGCCGCCGGCTGGCCGGGCGGTCGGTCGGATGGACGGACGGTCGGCGATGAGACGGTCGGGCACGCGGCCGGGCGTTCGGGCTGGCGGAGGTGACCGTGACAAGGTCGCACCGTGCCGACCGAGCGCAGCCTCTTAATGAGTCAAGGAACGTGTCTTTAGACGGATACCTACCTAGCAGTGGAGGGTCCTGGCTAGACAGGGGCGCGGGAACTACTTTCCGACTGGGGGGGGGGGGGGGGGCACACCATAATAGAGATCAACCTAGGGTACCCCCAAATCTAGTTTTCTCACCGGTTTTAGGCCACTTATTTTTCACCTCTCGGCTTTTTCAACAAAAAAAGAAAACATTTGCAAAAAAAGTGTGGTATTCCGTCTCAAAGCTGTGGGGGCACCGCCCCCACGGCCCCAGAGTTGGGGGGGGGGGGGCAA